TGACCAATGCTTGGCATGTAGGAGATCTGGAGCTCCCATGGCCCAAGATGGGGAGTTAGGGAGCAGTGGTGTTGAGAGATTTGAAGGATCTGGGAATGGGAGAGAGACACAGAACTCTGGAAAACCCACACAAATGGAAGGGACTATAGACTTCAAGAGGAGGTCCCAGCAGGAAACCTAGGTAAACTAGATGACTTACCAATGCCTCAGCGTTCACCAGCCAAAGAAAACCAGGCAATGGACAGGCTGACCAATCCTCAACAGAGACCAACAAGAATAGAGAGGGTAGCCCAACACAGAAGGCTGTCTGCACAATGCCCTAAACAAAAGTCAGTCTTCTCTCAGAAAAAACATGTACCATCTTGGAGAAAAGGAGGGAAAGAGGAGACTTCACGAGAGGTGGGGAGAAAGAGGCTGATAGGGAGTTTACACTTTGAACTGATGGACTATTTTATTCTATGACCTCCTAAAGACTAATCACAAAAACGAAATCAATCACAGGAAAACTTTAGTTAAGCCAGAAGATTACCTCTAACAGGCAAGTTAAGTGTTTTCTAGCACATTCATACTTCCAGTAGTGGCAGAACTGAAGTATCCAGAGCCAGATAAGATCAATGATTGCAAATGAAAGAAGCAGCATATTTCGTGAGATTTGTGTTGTAGTGCAATCTTTAACCTCCAAAAGCTGAAATGAATCAGAAATGAAAACCTTCCTTGAACTCACACTCTATACAGGGAAAAATTTCCTAAGAACACACTGTGATAGAATGGAAAAGAAAAATAGGTATAAGCACAAAGTTAGCACAGAGGAGAGATTGATAAAAATACATGTGGAAGCTAGGAGGAGGATAAGAAAAAGCTTCCTGGAAAAGAAAACTATGCTGGGTTTTAGAGGATGAGTAAGAGTTCATCATGCATTGGAAAGAGTTCCCTGGAGGTAAACAGAACAATATGTCAAAAGCATAGACGATTAGAAAAGTTAAGAGTGTTCAGTTTCATCTTCCTGGAACATAATAGAGAAACCTAATCTTCAGACAGAAGTCTACTCTCTGGTGACTAATGTTATAGCTTAGGGAATAGAAACTACTTTTGTTTCAAGATGTAAAAAAGAAAATATGTGAATATATATATATATATTTGGTGAGGAAGATTGGCCCTGAGCTAACATGTGTTATCAATCTTCCTCTATTTTGTATGCAGGATGCCACCACAGCATGGCTTGATGAGCAGTGTGTAGGTCCGCGCCTGGGATCCAAACGCATGAACCCAGGGCCTCTGAAGTAGAGTGCATTACACCACTGAGTCAGCCCCTAAAAATTCTATTTTTAGAGAGAAAATATTTAATAGTGTATTCAGTGTAACAGGGAGAAAAACTGTATTATTGTTCAACGACCAAAAGTTAGAAGTGACATTTCAAAGATAAATTTATGAGACTATTGTTCTTGTCCTCAATCCAGAAAATAGACTCCAGATGGTTACAAATATTTATTTCTAAGATTTAAAAAATGAGATCTGTTTTCACTCTCTCTAGTCTCAAGATCTTTACTGATTTTCACTTATAAAGAACTACAAGTCCCCATACAGGAGGTGCTTAATGTCACTAATTAACTGTTTTGCTTTGAAGTGTCTTCTTTACAACTATTAAAAATGTTTATCATAATGATTTTTTGTCCTGTTGAGAGTACTAGGTATTTTTTTAAAGCCATCATCTTACATATTCTTTATAATTCTTACTCAAAGATAATTATGCACCATTTTCTTTAAGTGGTGGTTTAAAACCCAGTGAAGATTCAAATGATCTCAACAATATTTTTACTGGTTACTTTTTTCAGGCAAAATTCAAACATTAGGCTGAAGTATGCAATCTTGATTTCATAGAAAAAGACTCACTTTTAGACCATGGCCAAAATTGTGGGGACTGATCTTATAAATACATAGTATGACCTGAGGGATTCTAGGCAGGTCCACCTGCCCAAATGTATTTCCTCTACTTGCCAGGGCCCCAAGGATGCTCCACTGAAGATTCATGGATTTGAATTTCAAAGATTTGTTGAACATCATTAATCTTGTAGTAAAGTGCCGGTACTCTGTGTAGACTAACACTGAGACATTATCAAAGAATAGCTTTCAGAAGCATTTCCCAACAGGTGTTTGGTGCATGAGAAAGAGATTCCATGCTCAAATAAAGATGAGAAATACCGAACATTATTTTTCTCTCTTAGAGACTCCCAATATGTATTACCATATGAAAAGCTCTGAAAAGATGAACAGTTAGGAAAAAAAAAGATAAACTTTTAAAACACAGCAATTCCAAAACTTATTTGACACTGGGACTCTTCTGGTTGTCATGAGAAATAATGATAAAAGCTAGTTGAAAACAAAACACCAAAAATTAAACAAAAAAGGGACAACTGGGTTGGGGCCAAGAAAGGGCACTCAGATGACTGAGAGAGTGCTGACAGTGAACATGGACTGTTCCTAAGGCAAATGGGGTGAACTCAACTCTTTTCCTTGGACAGGTCCAAGGGATGATGATCCAGCTCTTCAGTGGATAAAATTAATTTGGTCTAGATAGCTTTACCTCTATTGGAAGTGGGTCCTCACAGAAGCACCTCCATTAAGATGCATTGTGTCACTGTTCTCTAAAGACAACACAGAGACAGTCGTAGGAAATCCATTCCAGCACTTGCTATGTGGAGGAAGTCAGGACTAGTGTCTACCGTCTCATTCAGTGCCCCTTCTATAAAGCACCACATTGAAAAGACTTTTCAGAACTTGGTGCCAAAAGCAAACAGTTTTGCCTTCCTTAAGGAACTGAGATACTTCCTCCTTTCTGAAAAGGAGTATTAGGTCTTTCTACTGCTTTTATTACCAGGAAACTCAAACCTAAATTTCAGAGCCAAAATAACAGCCACATAGGCCTTTATGAGCTGGATGTTTGGGATCTTCTTTTTTCTTGACTTCCTACTCTAATGGATGCCTCCTTCATTCATGACTCTCTGTTTCTCATTGCCCATCAGTTTATTGTCTGTGCTTGTTATAAACTACCCACAAGCCCATTTGGGAATATGAGAGGGGACAGATGAGGAGATGGAAAGATAAATGAAGACAGACAGACAGAAATGACTGGCTCCTGCAAGATCTATATGGAAGACACAGCCAGTACCTCACATGGGGCCTAGAATATCATTAATGTCTAATAATTCTTAATATTTTTAAGTGAAAAAGTGTTCCAAGATAATATTTGCCCCATCAAGATCTCCAGGGAGATGTGTTTCTTACTGAGAGATATGTCAAGGATACTGAGCACAGGGTAAGGCCACCTGCTCCCACCAGTGCTTTGGAAGAAGCGATTCTATTGGGGGTAGGCTGAGGAGTAACCTCGGAGTGGCAGAGAGGACATCCAGAGCTAGGCCAGAGAATCTGACAAGTAATTCCAAGAGAGACTCCCCTATGGATCTGCAGAGGGCTGAGGGTGAGTTCACCTCTTCTGCTGAAAACATCTGCCAAAAAGGGAAAGTTAGGATGAAGCATGACTTACAGGGGAGTAGACACACACACACACACACACACACACACAGCTAATGAGTTTGGGTAAGGAGGCGTGCATTTGAAGGGGAAACCCCATACTGTCTATGCAGAATGCATATTATAATGAGGAAAAATTGTAGGACAAGAATTTGTGTTCCAAAGGGCTCAGAAACATGTCCATATATAGTTGATTGGTCACACCATAGAAACCACGTTCAGATATGGCTCCTGAATAACATTGCCAACTTTATTATCCAATAATAAGCTGAACCACAGGGATTTTACTGTTCTAACTGAGAGTTTAAAAGTCCCCTCTCTCAATCATGAGAGACTAGCGGGCAGAGAGTAAGAATAGCAAAATCTATAGAGTTGAGGAAGCTGTGACAGTCACATTGATCCCGATTATGGTTTTCCAAAGGCACAATATGGCCTGGCCTGAAGGGCTCGTTATGCGTTATACTTGTAGGATAGCTATTCTGAGGAAACTATTGGCGAGGGGGCAGCATTACTGTTTGTATAATCTTGCCAATGGAAACTTGATTGATTGATTGATTGATTGATTGATCCCAACAAACACAGAGAGCTTTCCACGTCCTGACACTGCAACTGGGAGTATGTAAAGTCAAAAAAAACACGGTTCCTGCCCTAAAGGGGTTAGTTAAGAATCCCAAAGTTCTGACTTTTTTCTTGTAAGCCGACCTGTGGTTTCTCTCAAAATCCTTGCCCTTCTGAGGCAGGGAGAGAGTGCCGCATGCAGCTGAGAGGGGTGTTGAGCTCTCAGTGAGTGCACTTGCTTTGGGCTCTCTATTGATGTTCTCCTGAATTCTCTCTGAAACCTAAACTGAATAACCCTGGCAGCTTCCAAGCTTGTGTGATTTGCAAGTTGTATACAACTGCCGACAATTCTGTGTTACTTGGCATTAGTCAAAGAATGGGGGTTAGAGAAGGAAGGAGGGGGCCTGCCCTTCTAAATAGTGGTTCTTCGAAAGAACTTCTGGTTCTCTAGGACATTATGTCTCCCAACATCTCATTTACCTCTAATTTCATCCCTATTTCTCTCCTTCCATTTAGAACCAAATTTCTTTAAGATAGATCTACCCTCACCACCTTTGTTTCTTGATCTCCCATCCACTCCTCTGCTCACTAAAAAGATGTTTTTCCATTGGTCTACATGTCTATCCTTGTGCCAATACCACACTGCCTTAATTCCTGTAGCTACACAATAAGGTTTTTCTTTTTCTTCAACATTGTCCTGGCTATGCTTGACCTTAAAATAATTCTATATAAATTTTAGAGTCAGTTTCACACATATTAAAAAATATATATGCATATAATATGCATGTATATATTTTATATATTATACACAAATACATACATAGTTTGGAATTTTGATTGAGGCTGCATTGATTTTATGGATCAATTTTTTAAAAACAGGCATCTTTACAGTAAGAATTTTTCCAATCTTTGAACTTGATAGCATCCTCCATTTATTTAGATCTTTAATTTCTCTGGGCTTAATCTTGTAGTTTTGTGTAAAGGGCCTACAAATTTTTCATTAGATTTTATTCTTGGTGCTATTGTAAATAATTTTTTAAATTTTATGTTTCAATTACATCTTGGTAGCTTATAGAAATAAAGTTGATTTCTACATATTGACACTGTATCCATTGACATATACGGTGCTTTAACTTCACATGACAGAGACCCAACTTAATGATCATTCAAAAATGGATAAAATTGCATTTAAAAACTGAATAGTCCAAGAGGCATCATGGGAGAATCCAAGGATCAAATGAGATCATCAGGGTCTGTACTCTTTTCTCATCTCTTGGCTACTTTGCCTCCATTTGGTTTCTTTTTCAGACAAGCTTCTGCATGTTGTATCAAGACTGATGGCAAATCTAGGAGAGGAAAAGAAAATTCTCTCACCCAATCATCTACATAAATTAAACTATGATTTGACCTACTTGGATTATATCCCACCCTTAACCTTATCCTTGTCTCCAAAGGAATGGGGTGCTCTCATTAGCTATCCTGGGATGCAAACCCACCCAGGTAATTGAAAATTCTACCAAAGTCTCATAGAGTGGAGAAGGGGCAGTAAAAAAAAAAAAAAGGAAGTTAGGCAGACGAATTTTAAAATGATCATTGCATATGTTCTCTATTTCTCTTGGAATATGGGATAAATATGAACTATTTAGTCTTACATGAACTAGCTCCTCCCTACCTTTCTAGGTTTGTCACATGCTTTTCTCCCCTCTTTCTTATGTTCCACCACATTGATATCTCAACTCAAATGCATCAAGTTCTCCCCAGATCCAGGGCCTTTGCACATTCTGGACCATCTGTAATACTTTTGTCTTGAATTCTAACCACCTCCCCTCACTTAATCATCTCATTATTCAGTCTTAGCTTAAATATTACCTCCTCCAGGAAGCCTTTTCCAAACTAGCTGTAGTCACCATCTTGCAAGCTCCAGCAGACTGTTCTTTTCATTTGTATCATTTATAATAGAGGTAAATTCTATTTAACATGTGACTTTCCTACACTCTAAGCTCCATGAAGAAAGGAACTGTCTGTCACATTCATGTCAGGATTATTAACCACAGTACAGTGCTTGGTCCACAGGAAGCCCTTAGTAATCCTGTTTTGTTTTGTTTTGCTTAACTCAGTAACTACTCTAACATTTCTTCTTTGCCTTTAGCAAGTGTTTCTTCCTAGGATGTTGGTGTCAGCAGAGCTTCTACCTTAACTTGTTTGTCCTCTCTGCCTACCCTCTGTCCAAAGCCAATCTCGTCTATTCACATAGATTTATGTTCTATGCTACGACTTAGCTAGCTCTATGCTATGACTTAAAAATATATTTCTTCCACCCTCATCACAAGCTTCTGATTTTTACATCTAATTGCCTACTAAGTATTTCCAACTGGATATTACACTGACAGTTTAAACTCAACATGTTCCAGCGGAGCCCATCTTTTTCCCTCTCCTCCGCTCTCACCCACCTGCTCCTCCCACTGGTATGTTTACAGTTTCAATTAATGGTGCCGTCATCCACCTAGTCTCCTACAGCAGAAATCTTGTAGTCATCCTAAACTCAGTTCTCTCCGACTACCCACATCTTTCCACTCACTAACTAATTATTCCTCCCACGTGGTTACATAATCCTTCTCCCCATCCCTACTACTACTGCCTGATCAGGTTTCCATTCTTTCTCACCTTGACCACTGAAATAGCCTCCTAATAATTCTCTTTATCTCAATCTTGCCCTCCTTTGAAACTTCCTCCACACAGCAGTCAGAACAACATACCTAAAATTCAACTTGACTATGGGGTTTTCATGCTTAAACCCTTCCAAGGCTTTCCATAGACTTGTTATTCCATTAACATACCAGGCCCTCTGTAACTTGAGTCTTTAATTACTTTTTCACTTCTACCTTCTATTTTACCTGCCAATAGTCCCCAACTGCTTTCAATTCCTATTTAACAATGATGTTACCTTCATCCTTAGCTTCCCTTATAGAGTTCCGCAAACCTGGAATGTCACTCAGCTCTGACCTATCCTTCAAGATTAGACTCTCGGGGGCTGGCCCTGTGGCCGAGTGGTTAAGTTCGCGCGCTCCGCTGCAGGCGGCCCAGTGTTTCGTCGGTTCGAATCCTGGGCACGGACATGGCGCTGCTCGTCAGACCACGCTGAGGCAGCGTCCCACATGCCACAACTAGAGGAACCCACAACGAAGAATACACAACTATGTACCGGGGGGCTTTGGGGAGAAAAAGGAAAAAAATAAAATCTTTAAAAAAAAAAGATTAGATTCTGGGAACATCTCTTTCAGGAAGCCCAAACCTCCGGGTTAAACTGAGTTCAGCTCTGCTCTCCCACAACTCCCCCAGCAAAGCTCTCATTATGACTGTGCAACTTGAGACCAGCTGTTTATAGTCTGTCTCTTCCACTAAACAATCAGATCCTCGAGAGCTGGCCCAACATCATATTTGTCTTTGTGCCCCAGGATGCAGTGAACAGCCTGGCACATATTATGTATCTAAAAATAGCTATTGCCCTGAAATTTTGAGATCACTTTGAACCTTTGTAACAGAACCCAATATCTATTTTGCCCTTTCTTGTATTCTGTTGAATTCAAATTTTATTCCAGGTGACAACGTACCCAGCTCAGTGACTACATTTTCCGCCTTCCCCTGCCATGACACAAGACCAATGAGCAGTGAGTAAGAACTCACTGCTGGCTTTCTGGAAACCTCTTTAAAGGAGGCTGACTCAACTGGGGGAAAAGTAGTTTTGTCATTTATTCCTCCTCACCTTCTGCCTGAAACCTGTTCACAATGACTGGAGTTCTAGGAGACATCATGTGTCCTTGAAGACACAAAGCCATGCTCTAAAGAAAAATAGGAGTGTGGTTCCCTAATGACCACGGAGCTTTCACACAAGCCCAGAACAGCATGCTTTCAGACTTTTGTTACATGACGGAATATGACCTCTACTTTGTTTAGCCTATCTGGGTCTTTGTGGCCAAAAGCTGAATATAACGGCAGCTGCTAGCTCTGAATCAAAGTTTCTTCTAAAATGATGCAATTGCAACTTAAAATTGCTCATGAAAAAACACTTAATTAGGATCATGTAGAATGGACACGTGTCTATTTCTAAATTTGTTGCCCTACTCACCTGCATCTAGAAACTGGCAGGCTGAGTAACTTTTAATATGGTAGTGAACTATTTTGTTTTTTCAATTGTTATTTAACTCTATGATTTGTCACTTTAGTAGAGTTGCAGTTTCTGAGGTAATTACTTGAGTAACTTTTATAGTACTCTTATTCACAGTTACTAACTGTCATGGGGGCTTCATAGTGCCTAACTAAGAAATAAGGACAGAGTAATTAGACTTCTTCCAAGGATTTACAACCAAGAAAGCATTACTAAACCATTATGTATGTACTCTAATTCACATGTATCTACATGTATGCACAGATATAAATCTTTATGCAGATAGCAAACATTAATTGAGTTAGCTTCCCCACTTATGAAGTATAAAATAAAAGTGAAAACAACAATTATATACGCACACAAATTTCAAGAATACATTGGATTCTGGGTCTCTGACTTAACAAGCATCATATCTTGTATTTTTAACTACTTACTCACTTGTTTATCTTATTCCCTCCTCAGAACTACCACTGGCCATTTTCACATTATATTGACTCAGTTTAAACTCCATTCAGTTGATACCTAGACACTGACAGCGTGTGGCCTCTTCTCCAGGCATGGAAGGCTAACTTTTCAACAATCATCAGTGCCCATTTTCTGAGTAACTTTGAATTGCTTAGAGTCTGTGCCACCAGTTCTTTCTGTGTCATTCTCTCAGGCTCCTCCCTCCCAGTGGATGGTCATTTGCCGTGTATAATGATTTCTTCAAACACTCATTCCTTTCTGAGCCATTTAAAGTCCATGTGAAACAAGGCTTGATCCAGAGGGAAAAATATTTTGTCTTGTTTTGTTTTTAAGGATAAATGATAGGATTTGAGATCAGAGATATTTAGACCCTAAATGCCATATCTTGACCCCAGTGTTTTGCACTTAATAGGTGCTTGTTGTCAATAATAAGCAGCTTGTTCAAGGTTCATTCATCCATTGGCTGACTGAATATTAAGCATTTGCTATGTGGCTAGCACAGTACTAGACTATAGATACTACAGTGAGTAAAAACAGATAGGGTATCTAATTACATGTTAATTAAGGCAGGTATTAAGCAAATTATCTCAGAAATGAGTTTACAATTACAAACTAAGACAAGTGCTGTGAAGGAAAGGAACATGGTTCTATGAGTCTGCTAACACAGACTAGCTTGTTTCAGACCAGCCATTCCACCGGGTAAACTAGAAAAATCTAATTGAAAAAAACATATTTGAATGTGTCATCATGCTACTAAGGCTGTGAGGGCTTGAGGGGCTAAAATCCAAGAGAAGAGGGAAATGCAGAGAGGTAAACCTGAGAGTCAGAGTGATTTTTCCTCCTACTGCATTTGCTAATTCTTGGTAGAGGCTCAGAAGACGAGGAGAGCTTCCTATAGTCTCTTCAGGCTGGGGAACAAAAGTCGAAGTTTAGGACCCATAAAGAAAAGGAGGCCTTGAGAAACTCCAAGGCTTTCAGTTGAGAAAGGAAAGCACTCATGATGTCCCTTCTCCATGACTCATTCATGGAGTGCCCTCAACCAGTACTCGGACAGTCACGGCTCTTCAACCAGTGGGTCACTTAAAATTTCAGTCCTAATGTAACTGAGCTATTGACTCTTCTGCTCATAAAGGGTAGCTTTAGCCTTTCATTAAATTATACCAGTGACCATGGCAGTACTAGGAGGAAATCCAGAAGACTACTTTAGTTCTTTCCATGCTTCTCTCTGGACCAACCGTGTGGTGAAACCTTCGATAGGAGTAGTCAGTCAGCAACAATTACTTCATTTATGCCCATTTAGCCAGTGGCATGAGGAAACTTAAGTGGCTAGGAGGCAGTCTAAGCTTCAGTTTTGATGGAATTTGTATCCCAGGTGGAAACATTCTGCTGTTCAATACTAAAATATTCAAACCAACTAAATCCAGAAGAATGGGAATGGGAGAGAAAACATTTGCAAGTAGATTATTAGGCACAATTGGGAGAAGCTCACTCTCACTTCCATCTTATTGTCTCCAAACCTATATTTTCAATCTATGAAAGATATGAGTGTATATTGATCCTTGACTCAAAAGATACTGCGAGATGGTCCTCTCCTCACAAGGCAGTGTATCTCAGCTGTACTGTATTGGAGACTCCAATTAGACCACAGCTGTTTGTGGGCCTGGGGGCACCTTACCATTTTTCCCACTTCTTCCACTATAAAATAAACTTCCTTGG